GCCCCTTCATACTCACATGTCTTCTTCCTTTCCTTGTATCTTCTCTCCTACCTTTTTCAAATGTCCTTCTGACTCTCCTTTGCAAGGGCACTTGACATTATACTTAGGACTTACAGGGCAATCCATTATGATCTCATCACAACATCTTTAATAAAGTCTTCCAGGACTTTTCCTAATAAGATAACAATTACCAATTCTGAGGCTTGAGGTTTGGGTGTATCGTTTGGAAGCCAGCATTTACCCACTACATAATAAGATACAATAACATAGCTATTAGAATGGGATAAAATAGCATCTCATGTTAAAGAGACAGATTAGTACAATTTGAATCCATTCTTTTTTTCAATGGCCATAACTTGGTTTCTTTATATGAGCCAAACTACAGATATATTGAAACAAAGCAGGAAAAGTTTTACTTTCATAGAGCTTGAAATGCTTTCATTTAATAAGAGGAATCAGATAATAAGATAATAATGACCAAATAAATAAGAAAAGTCTATGTGGTTGGTTATTGCATAAGAAAATAATATTGGAGCTCAGTAATATGTCACAGTTCAGCTCACTTTGGAATCCCCCATGTGATCATGAAGAAAATAAACTTAATTGAGAATAAATTTTTCTAAGAAGATACCTCCTTATTCTCCACTAATAATTGCTATCAACCTAATAAAAGTACTCTTCTAGGCTTTAAATTGTCTTAATTTAGAAAGTCCAAATACTCCTGTTCTTCCCATTGTTTTCCCTTCTAGTTAATGAGGAATTGTGTAATTAGTGAGTCCAGAAATTGGCTTCAGTCTGAGGCTTCAGGGGATATCAGCCCAGCATCCCCTGGGAGTCAAACACAGCCTATTGATACATGAGCACAGATAGCCTTCTGATTGGTTCTGCTAGAGAATTCCTTAATTAATATTCTTAAAATAATAGCACTCAGAATATCACAAAGGAAAGAGATATTCAAATAGCCCAGTGAGATGGCAGTCCACTTGATCTGAGATCCTGTGATGATGTCTTAATGAAATATGAGCTTCTTTAGAGGAAATATTTGCGTTTTTCCTTAGTGTTTTGCACTACAGAATGACACCAATCTGGGGTTTGCTCCAGGAGAGTAGTCTCAATGCGGTAGCATCTCAAGTGTTTCTAGAGTCATTCCAAACCCAACATTTGTTGACAGCAGAAAAAGAACTGTCTTCTCCCAGAGCAGTGCTCTTGTGACAAGGTGAGCATGCCCTCTCTCTCTCTCCTCTCTCCCCAACCCCAGGAAGACTTTACCTGTGGTGCATCGACTTCCATAGCAGAGCCAGAGTGTAAAGAAGCTACCTCCTGCAGAAGACTCCAGAAGCATGGTCACATATGCCAGGATCGCTGATGCGCCTCCTAATTTTTCTCTCTGAAAGATAATAATTGTATTTTAATTTTGCTAACCATCCTTTCCTCCATCCCTGATTCATCCCAGCAGCACTAGATCCTGAATCTCCCATTCCGTCTATGCCACTTCCTTCAGCTAGAGATGGAAACACCCCAGTCCTCGGGAAGTCTTCTCCTTCCCTGAGTCAGCCCCTGCTCTCTGTTTCTAGATGCATCACGTTTGTTCCAAATGCTTTAGACAGCTTCTCTCCCCTCACTGCATGACATGGGGAAGGGACATCTTAAAGCCTGTGCATAAATCTCTCCATGCTTTAGGACTCCAAAAGATTGCAGAAAACCTCCCACCACGATGCAAGAATATCAAAAACTATTGGAGCTACTTTTCCACTTGCACAGAACCCTCATTAGCAAGCTTTTCTATGATTAAAACTACCAAACTGTGAGACAGTATGGATTGTATGGATGAGCACAAGAGACACCTGCAGATAGCCTCTTCCTAAGTCCTACAGTCTTCTCCCAGCTCCAAAGATACTCTAAGCTACCTTGTCCAGGCTGACCTTCTAAACCTACACTTCACTCACTTTCTTATTCCAAATACAAGTCCAAACAACCAGCGGGCGAGAAACTATCTGGGACCCTTCTAAAATCTTCTCTTCCTAATTTTTACTCTTAATCATCCCTTCTTGAACATCAGTCTTCTGTTCTGACCCATCTATGTATAAATGCAGCATGAGTCTAAGTGTTAGTATAAAATTAAGCCCAAATATTTCATTAAAATAGTGCGAGAAAGCTGAGAAATTTGGCTCCTTTGGAACTTTTTATCTAGAATTTAGAAGAGTTTATATGCTATCATTTCTAGAATCTGACCTCGGCTGATTCATCCCTTAGGCAACCTGGTGGTATCCCAATAGCCAACACAAAGTGAACTCAATGGCACTTTTGGAGGTGCTTTGTCTCATGATGCTTTATTTGGACATTATTGGTTTCTTGTTTATATATTATGGTTTCTGAGGATGTGGTTTTCTGGGGTTTGTATGATGCACGTGTGTGTGTGGCTGCATATGGATGTTTCTTGTGTTTTTTATTTAGTTTTTCCCTCTGTTTGTTTGCTTTGTTTTATTCTGGTTTGATTTTTTTTATTTACCTGCTTGTTTTCTGGAGAGAGAGATAGAAAGAAGGCATGGAGTTTGAGAGGTGGAGGAAGGGGAGGCTCTGGGAGGAGATGAGGGAAGAAATGTCAGAATATAGTGTATGGAAAATTTTTATTTAATTTCAAAAATCCCTAGAACCCAGGTGCTGGGGAAATGGCTACACTGGTAAAGCCCTCGCTGTGTGGGCACCGTGTTTGACGCCAAGCACCCACATCCAAACCTCCGGCTCCGGCCAGTGGTGCACGCCGGTAATACTGTGTTGGAGAAACGGAGACAGGATACCCAGCCTTGCTTGGCAGCCACTGGAGCTGAATCAGGGAGTCCAGGGTTCAGTGAGAAACCTTGTCTCAAAAGACAGAGAGCAAATGAGGAAGACACCTCACATTAACCTCTGACCTTCACATGCACGCACACACAGGCACACAAATATATATGCAATAAATGACTTTCACACACACACACACATATATACAGTAAAACAAAATAACTCTGGAATCAGTTTGAAATGCCCTTTGAGATGATGAGGAGGGCTGGATCCTTTCTTTATGATACTTCTAAAATCATCGGATATAAAAAGATATATTCTTTCATCCATATAAAACATGAATGTTATAAGGAAAAATATTCCTCAGAAATACATGCTCCCCAAAGACACTGTTGGCGTCTCCTTGTGACTAACAGTGAAAGAATGGAGTTAATCATCAGGAATGCTCTACCCACAAATGATTTTAAAATATCCAAGTCCTTGAAAACGATAGAACAAATGTATCGCCTTACATTGCTTTTGTAGACCTTCAACAATGATTATAAATTTATTCATGCAGGGTCATCAAAAATTGTAACTATCAATGTCCAAGCTTCAGCATCTGTGGACCAAGCTGAAATTGCACACACACATACACACATGCCTCAGTTTGTCCGCACTCACTGGTGACTGTGACTGGGGACACACACACACACACACACACGCCTCAGTTTGTCCACAGTCCGCACTCACAGGTGACTGTGACTGGGGACACACCACACACACACACACACACACACACACACACACACACACATACACATATGTGCGTGTGCCTCAGCTTGTCCGCACTCACAGGTGACTGTGACTGGGGTCTAAGATGCTCTTTAGCTTTAGCTGATAGGTCTGCCCTTGGGAGCAGAATTTAAGCTATCACAGAGGAAGAAATAGCAAGGTGTGCATTGAGGTTGAAAGGCAGATATGAGTTCCAATCACTAGAATAAGAGAGGACATTGGAATAAAGGGCAGCATGGGTGAAGCCCCCAAGAGAGACGCTCTCTGTTCTCCAAGAAAATCAATGAGCCAGTATGCTGTAACTCCAGCATTAAAGACCAATCAGGAGGTCAGGGTCACCCTCAGATAAATAACGAGCTCAAAGTCGGCCTGGAGTATATAAAGACCTTGTCTTAAAAAAAAAAAAAAAACATGGAAAATCCCACCCTCCATGCAGAGCCACCATGAACGTCTGTCGGGTCGCCTGTCTGCCTTTCAAAGTCCTGAATTAGGAAGGTGTGACCTGTCCTTTTTCGTCTCTTTTTTTCTGATGCTGGCCAGGAACTAAGCAAGCTTTCTGTAGTATTTGGGGTTCTCACCTTCTCTAAGACTCCCCTCCCCGACTTGTGGCTGCTCGTTCACCAGGTGGTTGACCTCCAAACCTAACTCAAAACAGCATGGCTGTCTTCCTCCATCTCTCTTCTCCAGGGAGCTGCGGGGATTTGCAGCTTGCTATCCTGGGGTTTTTCGTTTTTAATTCTAATAAAAATTTCCTCAAGCTTCAAAAAAATGTAATAAAAGACAAGAGGAAATGACTGGAAATCAAGTTAGAGTAAGTGAGGAAAATTCCAGAATATTGTGGTTGGAAAATTGGTCTTTATCCGTGTGGAACCCACCTAAAATACTGGACTAAGAATTAGGAAAACAAGGGGATTTTCCCCCCCTGGCTCCTCTACTTGACGTCAACACCACTCACAAGGGTAGAATGAAAACAGCTTGCAGAGACTGGAAATATTTCCTGGAATTTCTGCGAGAACAAACAGGAAGAAGAAAAAAGCCCTCTGGACACAATTTTTAATGTTAATAGATTTCATATACTGGTAAGTATCTTTGGCTTACCCTGAACGAGGAATGCGGGCGAGTGGGAAGTTCGGAACAGCCATTGTATATGCGATACAATGGATTTCTGAGCTACTGTAGAACATGTAGGAAAAGCTACATGTGTCAGTAACCCAGCGGTATTACATGTCTAGTCAAGCCTGTGGAGCAGGAATGGGGTCCTCTGAACTGTGTAAACACTGTGAGCAGAGAGTAGTGACGGCAAAGAAGCATAAAACTCATCCCAAGGTGTCCAGAGAGCAGCCTGACGCGCCGGTGCTCAGGTTCAAACAAAGCAGGGGAAATGTAGGTGCAGGGGTGATGATGCCCCAGATAACATGAAAAACCATAGGAACCCTCACCTCTCTTTCCACTTTATTCCAAGGAAACAATCACAATGGCCTGGAGGAACCACAGCGCCATCACCGAGTTCCTTCTCACGGGGCTCTCTGACGACCCCCTGATCGAGGCTCTACTTTTCGCGCTTTTCCTGGGGATTTACCTCCTCACCATGATGGGGAACCTGACGATGCTGCTGGTGATCGGGGCTGACTCCCACCTCCACACGCCCATGTACTTCTTCTTAAGCAACCTGTCATGTATAGACCTCTGCTTCTCGTCCGTCACGGTACCGAAGCTGCTGAAGGACCTCCTGTCTGAGAGGAAAAGCATCTCAGTAGAGAGCTGCCTGGCTCAGGTCTTCTTCGTGTTTTTTTCTTCTGGGACTGAAGCCTGCCTGCTGTCGGCCATGGCTTATGACCGCCACGCTGCCATCTGCCATCCACTGCTCTATAGCCAGGTGATGAGAACGGAGTTGTGTGTGAGGCTTGTGTTGGTCTCGTGGGGCGTGGCCTCTCTCAATGCCACCATCATTGTGCTCTTGGCCGTCAACCTGGACTTCTGTGAGGCTCAGACCATTCACCACTACACCTGCGAGCTGCCTGCCCTTTTCCCCCTGTCCTGTTCGGATATCTCTATCACGGTTGATGTCCTGCTTTGCTCCAGTTTATTGCACGGGCTGGGGACCTTTATCCCAATCTTCTTCTCCTATGCCCGCATTGTCTCCACCGTCTTGAGCATCGGCTCCACCACGGGGAGAAGCAAAGCCTTCTCCACCTGCTCGTCCCATCTCACTGCAGTGACCTTGTTCTTTGGGTCAGGCTTTCTCTGCTATCTCATGCCCCCCTCTGGGTCCTTCCTGGACTTGCTCTTGTCTTTGCAGTACAGCGCAGTCACCCCCATGCTGAATCCCCTCATCTACAGCCTGAAAAACAAGGAGGTGAAGGCCGCTGTGAGAAGGACACTGAGAAAGTACCTGCCGTAGGTAGTGAACTATGGAAAATGGCGTGGTTATATTCTTTTATCCCACATCCTTCAAACACACAGTGTCAGGTATGTGAGGGGGGAGGTCTTCCGTGGCTTGACTGAACATCTAATCTCATCATTCCAAGGTATGAATGGGCTCTAGATTTGGATTTTTATTGGGAAAGTGTACATTCTGTTGGTTGGAACAGAATGTGAAGACAGAACTCCACAGAGGAGAATAATATGACAACAAAAAAATGGACAGATACATGTTGGGGACACGGCACAGTGGTAGAATACTAGACTAGTAAGTCCACAGCTCTAGCTAGGTGCAGGATTTCCTTGCTGCCACAAAAAAAAGCGGGGGGGGGGGGGGGGGGATCCAATGACCACTTCAGGAGATTCTGAATCTAACCCTGAGGACTTAGTGAATTTTCTAATGAGAACTTCACAACTTTACTAAAATAAAGAAAATTTTAGGTCAACAAAAACTCAAAATTCTATGTAGATTATTGTAGACATAAAAATGTTGCATGCTAAAACTATGAAATATGAAGTCTTCAGGGAAGACAAAAATCTATCATTAAATGGCTATTAATACACAAAAACTCAAATGTCTGCCTGTTCAAATCCAGACCTTGGAAAGAGAACAAGACCTGAGCTCAGGGAGCAGCTTGGTTGGTAGAGCACCCACGTAGCCCTCATGAAGCCTCAGGTTTGGTCACCAACGCCTCACAGACTGTCATGGTGACACACATAATAAGGACCTTTCATAAATAAAATACAATAATAAAATAAAATCCTCCAAAGAGCAGAAGCACTGATAATTTCTCAAGTTAGTCTTACTAAACTTTAATGCTCTTTACATTCTCTAGACTAGAATACTAAAATGATACATTTTCAGGGCTAAAGTCATTATGATTCAAAATCTGAAAAAAAAATATTCTCAAGTGACTATATTAAACAGCAATTCTAAATGAAGTATTAATCACTGAATCCAGAAGTGTACTGGAAGATTGCTAATCTGCATTGTGGTCCATGACCAGGTGAAACTTATGACAAAATAGTCTTGTATTTATCTGATAAAATTTTTAAATACTTTTTTTCATTTTTTTTCTTTTATTTTACAATACTATTCAGTTCTACATAACAGCCACAGATTCCCTTGTTCTCCCCCTTCCTGCCCCCCTCCCCTTCCCCCCAGCCCACCCCCCATTCCCACCACCTCCAGATCAATGCCACCCCCAAGGACTGAGATCGACCTGATAGACTCAGTCCAGGCAGGTCCAGTCCCCTCCTCCCAGACTGAGCCAAGCGTCCCTGTATAAGTCCCAGGTTTCAAACAGCCAACTCATGCAATGAGCCCAGGACCTGGTACCACTGCCTAGATGCCTCCCAAACAGATCAAGCCAATCAACTGTCTCACCGGGTGGAGCGCTGGGAGTCTAATTAGCAAGAAAGAGGAGGGTTTATATGAGCAAGAATTGTTGAAACCAAGGTTGGATAAAGCACAGGGACAAATAGCCAAACGAATGGAAACACATGAACTATGAACCAAAGGCTGAGGGGGCCCCAACTGGATCAGGCCCTCTGAATAGGTGAGACAGTTGATTGGCTTGATCTGTTTAAATACTTATTTTCATTTTTAATTATGTGTATGTATGTGTGTTTGGAGTTCCGTAGAGGCCATATGGATTAGGATCCCCTGGAGTTGGAGTTACAGGAGGTTGAGACACCTGGTGTGAATGATGGTATGGAATTCAGGTCCTCAGCAAAAACAGTGTGAGAGTGTGTGTGTTGTTACCTGCTGAGCCATGTCTCCAAGGCTCCCCATTCTTAGTAGGCAAAAAGTCAACAATTATTTTGATCTTAACTACTTAATATAAATTCAATTCATTCTTTCTTTCACAAAAATCTTTATCTTTAGACAACAAAGTGGATGGGGGAAAAGGCCACAAGGTCTCAACTCTACATAAAGAGCAATAGGAAATTAAGGAATTTTGAGAACCAAAAAAATAGTCTTCGCCGGGCGGTGGTGCCACACGCCTTTAATCCCAGAACTCAGGAGGCAGAGCCAGGCAGATCTCTGTGAGTTCAAGGCCAGCCTGGTCTACAGAGCGAGATCCATGACAGGCACAAAAACAACACAGAGAAACCGTGTCCCGGAAAAAAAAAAAAAAAGTTAAAAAAATAGTCTTCCCCAGGGAAGAGCACATCAAGTGGTTATCCAAAACCAAATGACCAGCCCTAAAAATTTACATACAAGTAACATTATACAGACTAAACAGGTTATATTTAGGAATATACATGTATAACATATATGTATATGCATGTAACAAGAATTAATGAAAAAGACACCATTCATTTGAAAGAGAGCAAAAAGAGATATATGGGAGGGTTTTGGACAGGAAATGGAGGGGGAAATGATGCAATTATAATATCAAAAATAAAAAATAATTAAAATTTTTACCTCTAAGCATATAAAGCCGTAAGCTGTGTGATATAAAAATCACACTGGAGCCAAATCACACTGTGAAGAACAATGTGTTTTATTAAATCTGTTGTCTTAAATTGTAACCACATTTATAAAACAGATTCGGGCAGACTGACATTCAACAGAACAACTGTATCTTAACCAAATCGATGTATTTAAAAAAAAAAAAAAGAAGAAGAAGCCAGCACAGTACCAAGCAAAGACGGTTCAGGGGTTTAAGGTCTTCACGTGCTTCTTTCTAAATATTTCTCACCCGAGTCTTGAGGTTCATCAGTCTCCTCTTAGGACTCCAAATTTAGCACAGGGAATTACTGGATGTAAACTGAGCTCTGTAATGACCACTCTCACATCATATCCTAATCTATCAACCATCTCAAGAAAAGAGTGTCTTCCAACCCTTCCCTGAGGTTCTTCATGACCTGAGACCTATGGAGGTCAGAGGCATCGGATGCCCCTGTGGTTAGATTTACAGAGTGTCGTAAGCCCCCTAAATGGTGGCTGAGAAACAAACTCAGGTTCTCTACCATAGCACTGTGTGCTCTTAACCATTGAACCGTCTCTCCAGCTCTCCCCTAGACTGTTGGAGAGCAGTGTAGAATCAAAACCTTCTTTATAGAAGGGGACTGTTGGCGAGATCACCAAACAGTTGAGGAGCTGTGCAGTAGTTTGTGACAGATTGGGGGTGCTCACCGAAGAATGAAGCATGACATCACTAATCAGTGATCCACAGGAGGAGCCGAACCAAAAAAAAAAAAAAAAAAAAAAAAAAAAAAAAAAAAACAGATCATCTTTTGGAAAAAATCCATCTTTCTGAGGAAGGATAAAACCAGAAGAGGGAAAAGGCCAAAGGCCAAGAATCACTTCTTCTGTGGCATCATTTTAACCAAACCAAATGTTTGGGGTTGGGGTTTTTCTTTCCCCAAGTTTTTCTGTATTGAAAGAAAAGTTTTGTTCATACAATATATTCTGATTATGGTTCCCCTCCCCCATCTCCTCCAAGATCCTCCCCACATCCCTCCACCCACCCAAATCCACATCTTTTCTTGCTCGCTCTCACCAGAAAACAGGCATCTACAGGAAAATAGAAAGATAAATAAAATAAGCCGAAATAGAAACAAACCTGAATAGAACAAAATAAACAAATGAACAGAAAAAACGAAGAGCGATGAAAAGGCACAAGAAACACACACACACACACACACACACACACACACACACACACACACCACTGACAAACACAGTAATCCCATAAAAACACAGCATTGGAAACCATAACACATAAGCAAAAGACTTGCAAAGTAAGAAAAAAAAGTGTGTGTTGGGAGGGGACCCCAAACAAAGCATTAGTAGACAAAAGAAACCTCCAAAGGTATCACTGAGTTTGATTGGTGTTGGCCATCTACTGCTGGACGTGGAGCCTGGCCTTGAGAGGGGTGGGGCCTAACCAAATGTGTAAGGACAAACTCCAGTGGGCTTTTTAGAAGGACCCTGCGTGGTGGCTAGTCTTGGTTGTCACCTTGACTCTATCTGGACTACAATCCAGAAGTGGAGGGCACACTACCCCTGTGTGGTGGCTTGAAAGAAAATGCCCCCCAAAGGGAGTGGCACTGTTAGGAGGTGTGGCCTTGTTGGAGCAGGTGAGGTCTTATTGGAGGAAGTGTGTCACTGAGGAGGCAGGCTTTGAGGTCTCACATATGCTCAAGCCACACGTGGTGAGACAGTCTACTTCCTGTTGCCTGCATATCAACATGTAGCAGCTCTTTCTCCAGCACCACGTCTGCCTGCACCCTGCCATGCTCCCCAACATGACGATAATGGACTAAACCTCTGAACTACAAGCCAGCCCCAATTAAATGTTTTCCTTTATAAGAGTTGCCGTGCAGATGCACAGATCCACAGCCAGGAGCCAGGCTGAGCTCTGGGAATCCAATCGGTGAGAGAGAAGAAGGATTCTGCAGTTAGGGAACGTCGAGATCATGACAGGAAGAAGTGCAGAGATGACCGGCCACACTGGTAGAAGCCCATGAACTGTGGAGTGGTGGCTGTGGAGCCCCCACAGGACTGGACTAGGCCCTTGGGATACAGAATACGGTTGTTTGGCTCAAACTGTTTGGGGAGCACCCAGGCAGGGGGATCAGGATCCATCCCTGGTGCATGGGCAGGCTTTTGGGAATCTGGTGACAGTGGTGTGGCGCCTTGTGCAGCCAGGGTACAGTGGGAAAGGGCTTGGACCTGCCTAGACTCAGTGTGCCAGGCTCTGCTGAATCCCCATGGGAGACCTTGATTTGGGGGATGTGGGGATGCAGGGTGGCTTGGGAGGGAGGGCTGGGAGAAGGGAAGAGGGAGGAGGTGGGATCTGTGGGTGGTATGTAGAGTGAGTAGAAAATCTCTTAATAAAAAAAAATGAGAAAAAATGTAATGGGTGTCATCATAACATTTCAACCATTCTAGATCTCAAAATGCATCTGTGTGATGGGAATATATCATCCATTTAATAATGAAGTGCAATAACCAGAAGGCAAGCTTAAGATTTATGTACTCGGAAAAAAATTTTTAAAAATGGCTTGAAGGAAAAAAAAAAGAGTTGCCATGGTCTTGATGTTCTCACAGCAATAGAAACACTAACTAAGACACCCTGCCACCACTTTTCCCTCACAACTCATTGGTCTTTTATTTTTAGCCCACTGAGTCCACTTAGTGCCACTGTATATGCCCAAGTGTAGAACCATCTGCTGAAGTCTGGGTAGAATGTTAGTGTCTGCATCCCCGAAGAAAACTGATTCTC